GAGGGCAGTGTCACTGGCCCTCATGTGGGATCTGAACCGGGGCCCTCTGGCGTCCCAAGCCAGCTCTTAACCAACGCACCACTCGGCCGGCCCCACCAACAATTTTATTAATCCACTGTTGTGTCTGTCCATACTGTCAATTTTTACAAAGTCTTTTGTAGCATGATATAAAAGTATGTCTTTGTAAAAAAGCAGTTCCATTTTCTCCATGCTTTCTGCTTGCATGCTTTCATTTTCAACACTTTATTTCTGTTCCTACGGGCACGATTTTGCCTCTTCATCATAGTACCATGTTTAAAAAGGTAAACACTAACATTAATAGTAATCATACTTTTACATTCATTTTTCACAAACAATTGCCTCCACTGCAGAAATCTAGTCTCTACCTTTCCTAAGGGCTGAAAATATAGTGGATTTACTTGACTATTAGTTGAGATGGATGAATATTCAGAATCACTTCATATGAGTTAAGTGGTGACTCAAGAAATAGCATTAACTTGAAAATTCATGGAAAAGATTCTCAAGACCTTGCAAGTCCTTCTATTTCAGCCTGTATTTAAAAGAACAAAACTCTAGCAGTACAAAAAGCATTCGGGCAGTTCTCATAAGGGTTTTGTTTTGGTGATAGAATTTAATCTATATCAGTATTTGCTTGTTTCTAAAGCTACCTTAATTTTTTTTTTTAAAAGATTTTGGGGAATTGGGGGAGGGGAACAGCTTTGGGGAATCGGGGAAGGGGAATAGACAAGTTGCTGTCCTTTTGTTCTTTAGTGTAGTTGATATTATCATTGCGCTCTTCCCGGGTTAGGCAGATCGGTCACCCGCCATTAGACGGCGGCTCACTACATGTCACGCTGGCTGCTAGCCACAAACAGTAGCTCATGGCAGCCCACTGCAGCGGGGGCTGCAGCCTATGCAGGAGACTCACGGCAGCCCAGCTCCAGGTCAAGCTGTTGTTCACCGTCTTAGCTGTAGAGGGCGCAGTGTCACTGGCCCTCATGTGGGATCCGAACCGGGGCCCTGCTGCTCAGAGCTGGCACTCCCAAGCCAACTCCTAACCAACGCGCCACTTGGCTGGCCCCTACCTTAATTTTTAAAACCCGCATTTTATTGTCTTACAGGTCCCTTGTTGTCGTTCATTTCTGGGCACCATGGGCTCCACAGTGTGTGCAGATGAACGACGTCATGGCAGAGTTAGCCAAAGGACATCCCCAAGTTTCATTTGTGAAGGTACATCATATTCAATGTCATGTCTTTTGTGAGTTTATACAGGAACAGAGTGCTGTGAAATTCCATATATTTATAATTGGTGCTGGGCTCTGTTATTTTTTTGCAGTAGATTATTCATAAAAACCTTAAAATAGTCTTGCATTCCTGAAGTCCTGAGTACTGCAAGACCCACCACGCTTTTCCTAACGCATGCGTGGGGCAGGATGGCAACGGGGCAGTGTCTGAGCAAAGCAGATGGGATCATTCACTGACGATGACTGTGGTTTAATATAGGAAAATTATTAGCAAGGTGTGATGTGGAAAGTGATTAAGGTGTGTGAGGTGCGAGGAGCCGGGGAACAGGAAGGTGTTGCTGTCTGGGATCGGGCAGAACTACAGGAGAAACTGACAGTTTTTCTGACGTGTTCAGGAAGCAGAGGACAAAGGAAGGCAGACAGTCTCCCTTGCTTTGTGCTCCGTGACACATCCAGCCTTTTTGTTTCGCCCCATTGCACATGCGGTGTATTTCTGGTGCCTCCCTTGGTGGGACAGTAAGGGAGGTGGTCACCGGGCCTGCAGGTGAGGTCGCGTGTCAGTCAGGACTTCGGGCTGGCTTAGGCAGCAAGGCCAAATGGGGTTGAGAATCTTAGAAACGAATTATTGGGAAGGGAGGACACCCTGTATTCAAAGCATGAGTCCTTAGGATTTAAAACAAAAAAATCCAAAGCCTTATTTTTTTTTAAAGATTTTTATTGGGGAATTGGGGGAATGGGAACAGTGCTGGGGAATTGGGGGAAGGGGAACAGACAAGTTGCTGTCGTTTTGTTCTTCAGTCTAGTTGTGGAGGACGTTGCTTCACTGGCCCAAGTTGGCACCATTATTGTGCTCCTCCCGGGCGAGGCAGATCAGTCGCTGGCTTCTGGACGGCCGCTCACGCTGGCTACACATGGTAGCCCATGGCAACCCACTGCCACAGGAGCTGCAGCCTACACCGTCGCCGGTGACTCAGGGCAGCCCAGCTCCAGGTTGAGCTGTTGTTCAGCATCTTAGCTGTAGAGGGCAGTGTCACTGGCCCTCATATGTGGGATCCGAACCGGGGCCCTCTGGCGTCCCAAGCCAGTTCTTAACTATCGCGCCACTCGGCCGGCCCCCAAAGCCTTATTTTTTAAAACCAGAATTTATGAGTTCATGGGACATGTTGGCAAGTACACCTGTGTATGGGGTTAAAAATGGCAGCACAGTATTTGTCCGAATGACACCTTTTATGTAAACAGAAAACACAGAATTTGGACAGGCTAATTCATTTGTACTGTAGATACATAACTTTCAGACAGTTCCTGTGTAGATAAGTGTGCTTTGAATAGGTGTGCTTTGCACTTAGATGGCTCGGAAATCAAAACCATGTCAAAGCTGTGCGTTGAGAAGGCTTCGCCATCCTTCTCATCGGCCCTAATGTCCCACCCATAAGTAACCGCGTGTATTAATTTTGTATGAATCCTTCCAGTGTTTTTTTATGCAGACAGAGCGAGTGTGAATATAATGGTTAGCTTTTTAAAATTTAAGGACCTATTTAAAATTCCAATGAAATGTGTAATGTAAGCTTAGACTGTAACCCTAAAATGTCCCATATAAATAATAGAAGGGGACATTAAAACTGCATGTTTGGTCAGTGATAAAAGATAATGATTACAAGTGAAATGAATGATTAAACATTTCAATCATAAGATTAATCAAGATGATGGTAATTGTTGTAAGTCTGCTTTTATGTGTATAATGTTACTGGTTTGGGTAACGCATTGTTCTTAGCTGCCATCTGAATGATTTATTTAAAGTGCCTATAGAATTCCTTCTCACATTGGTACCAAACTTGGCAGTGAGACTTTTAAGTTGTTGAGTGCTTAAGTGTGTCAGCAAGCCAAGCTCGGGAAGCCCTTATCTGTGGACACCTGAACCACGCTGCACCTGCCCTTCCCGGAGGGTGACGGTGCAGATGCGTGCTTGTGCAGTCGTGGCGACTTGCCGGGCATTCACTCCATGGCGTGGCTTTTCTTTCACTAGACATGGTCCTGGGCAAAGATAGTTTGCGTGGCGTCCGTGAGGTAGGTGATTTAAAAGGCCACCAGCGGGCAGATGTGGAGACATATTTGTGAGGTTTGTTGGCATTTTCTAGTGAGAGAGGCTTTGTGGTCCATTTTAAAACAGCTTTCTTTTCCTTTTTTTTTTTTTTTTAGCTGGGGCTCAGCTAGAGCCCATGTGGGAATCGAACTGGCGACCCTGTTGCTTAGAGCTCACACTCTTGAGCAAGCTCTCAACTAACTGAGCCACTCAGCCGGCCCCAACAGCTTTCTTTTCCTAATGAGAACTTTCCGAAACTTCTGGGCTATGGAACTGATGTTTTACTACTTCTGTGACTTTTAATTTGATTTCTTAGTCTTTGTGTTTTAATGACTGCGATAGTTTGGCATTTTTGACTCGTGAAGTATAGAGATTAGTTCATTCTATGATTTAGATTTATGGAATCGTTAGTAGGGGATCTTAAACTTGATGTTTTTAATGGTTTGATGGTCAAGTTTTGTGACCTCAGCAATTTCTTGTTTTGTAGACGATGGTAAAATAATACCTGAGAAAAGTTAGCATATGTTTTGGGTCCATTAGTTGGTGCTCATTGGAACAGTTGCTGGACGGCAAGGTCTTGCATCACTGAATCTGAACCCTCCCGCCCCCCCCACCCCGTTTCCTGGCTGGTGACGTGCTGGTGAGGTGCACATGCTCCTTTAGGGCCACGTTGATGCCACGTGGTGTCACACTCACCTGCATCGACTGCTCATCTTGTCAGGTCCTGAGACTCTGGGTCCCACCCCGACGTTCTCACTTCCTGTGACTTAGAGGAGATACATGAATGGTTTCTATTGCTACAAGTCTCATGGAAACCTTATTTTTATTCAGAATAAAATTAAATAGTTAATTAAACTGTCAAGTGCCTTTGCTTTTCAAATTACGTCAAATCAGTTTGTTAGCACTAACTACAGTTAGTTATAGTCATTTGTTTGGTAGATAGAATCTTTCAGGTACAGTGTCCGGCAGAGGGGTGGGGAAACGCAAGAACAGTGCAAGGCTTCTTGGGTGATGGAAAAGTTGGGTACCGTTAGTCGTATTTGAGGTCCAGATGAAATCCATTTCATTTATTTTTTATAGGAGTGGCAATTTTTAAAGTTTTACATTTGATTTTATTAGTTTTACTTTTAAGATAAAAATTCCATGTATTTAAAGTATATAGCATGATGACTCAAATCAAACCATTTTGTCTAAAGCCGCTCCTCTGTACCCCTGCGGCTTTTTTTTGGCCTTTGAACTTAGTCTCTGCCATTGGTTGGACTATTAGTGAGGGACTATCTTGTATTTTTGTCGTTTTGTCCTTGAATTTCTGTTTTGATTGGCTTCTTCACTATGTGGTGGGGTGCTTGAGGTAGGAACCTTTACGTACCATTTGTTTTTAAATTGCTCTCCTTCGCACAGACGGCTCCCACCTGTCCCTGCCTGAGTACCCTGATCCTACTGGGCTGATTTACTCGTTTTACCACATGCTGCACTTTGGTCCAAAAATTCTCAGCGTCAGTCTTACCAGCTATCTATCTGGTTGGGGAGATTTCATACTATTGTATTTAATTTAGTATTAATCTTGTTTGTATTGTAGCTGTTATACTTGTGTTTTATGTCCATTGTAACTTCAGATATAAAGTCAAGGACACAGAATGAGTTATATATTTAAATTTTTATTTTTTGATTCTTTACAAAATAGAAATCTTTATAGTTTAATTTATTCTAAAATGTGCAACCGTCTTAAAGATATAGCTCACATTGTTTAATTTTAGAAGGTCTGTACAATCAGTGTAGGTAATTTCTGTAGTTTATACTGTTTAAATGTCTGTACAATTAGTGTGTAAGCAGACAGTGTAGGGCAATCTCCAGGTCCCCGACTGGCAACTAACTAGGTGCCAGCTAACTAGGTACCAGCTAACTAGGTGCCAACTAACTGGGTGCCAACTAACTAGATACCAGCTAACTAGGCATCAGCTAACTAGGTACCAGTTAACTAGGTGCCAACTAANTACCAGCTAACTAGGCATCAGCTAACTAGGTACCAGTTAACTAGGTGCCAACTAATTAGGTACCAGCTAACTGGGTACCAACTAACTAGGTACCAGCTAACTAGGTGCCAACTAGCTAGGTACCAGCTAACTGGGTGCCAACTAACTAGGTACCAGCTAACTAGGTGCACCTATTAGGTGCCAACTAACTGGGTTCCCACTAACTAGGTACCAGCTAACTAGGTGCCAGCTAACTAGGTGCCAACTAACTAGGTGCCAACTAACTAGGTACCAACTAGGTGCCAGCTAAGTAGGTGCCAACTAACTAGGTACCAACTAGGTGCCAGCTAAGTAGGTGCCAACTAACTAGGTACCAACTAGGTGCCAGCTAAGTAGGTGCCAGCCAACTAGCTGAATTCCTGTTCTTCAGTGTCAGAGAAAATGGACCACCTGATTTGCCATCATAGCACATGGAGGATTCACTTTTCTAGGAACTCTAAAAATGTCTTTCAGATAATTCTAGTAGAATTGTTAAATCTTAAAAACATCCTAGTTTTCATCTGTGCTGTCACCGTAATAAAAAATAACACAGTTAACATAGTTTATTAGCTGATACTGGGCTGTTTGGCAAAAGCCTTAAAAAAAGTTAGATCAAAAATATTAATTTAAATGTCTGCTTTGAAATGTATATTTGTCTGACGAAGAATATGATTTTGAAATCTTTTCCTTTTCCATCATGTCACAGGGTAGAGAAACCTGTGAGGTTGAACAGAATGTCCCTGAATGTAGGTTTAATCGTTCGCCCCTCCACTTGGTGCCTCAGTGCTGCCACTGGCGAGTGACCATTCCCACTCTTGGCTTGGAAGAGCGACCACCATTCATTCGTTCAGTGTTTACAAGACACTGATCTGCCGTGCGCTGTGCTAGCCCCTGGGCGCACAGAACAGAGAGGGTGTAGACAGTTATGGGCCGCTTGACAGCAAGGTAATTTCACATAGTAATTAGTGCTCCAGGAGAAATGAGTAGGCATGCTATGAGAGATGGGGACTTGGGTGGTGGGCTGCTCTGTTTCGGCTGGGCTGAAGGAGCTGAGAAATGGAGAGGAGCCGGTCATGGGGGGAGCTGGGGGAGCGCTCTTAGGCGGGATTAGCAGTGCAGCCTGTTGGAGGAGCAGCCAGCAGCCTGGGCTATGCAGCTATGTAGGGTTGGCCGGAGGAGACGGAAGAAGCCAGAGGGAGGGAGAGAAAAACATGGGAAGCCGAGTGAGGGTGTCCCCAGATGGGTGTGGCCATGCTTACTGAATGGCGCTGAAAGGTCGGTAAAACGAGTCACCACTGGACTTGTTAAAATGGTGACGTGACTGGAGCCAGATGGCCTCCGTCCACCACTCAGCAGTGCTGGAATGTTGACCAAACTGCCTAACCTTTTAAAGGTCCAGTTTCTTCTATAAGATGAGTGTAATGACAGCACCTGTTGTTGTGAGGATTAAATGAGCCAATACACGAAACATACATAGAACCTCGTCTGGCCTGAATGAAATCACAGCTTTGGCCATTGCTGTCATTGTGGTCTCTGACCCCTGGTAAATTGAAGTAGACTGTGGAGAGAGAATTCCCTGCCCCTGGCTTTGTCCTGTGCTGGTGACACCTCCCTGCCTCTGCTCACCCCTTCTCCACGGCACCTGCGTGGGAAGGGTCCAAGTTGGAGATTCAGGTACAGGAAGCACGTGGTTCCCACCAGCGGCGTTCTGTCTGTGGGGTTGTGTTCTGCAGGGCGCGTGCTGTTGGTCCTGAAGTCCTGTGTAGATCCTGTCTGTGACGTTGAATCTTTCTGATTGCTGTAGCAGGAAAGCTAACCATACTGTAGTTGAGCAGCATGGTTGTGTCGGCAGAACACCCTTGGGTTTGCCTCTTGGCCCGGCTACTTAACTGTGTGTCTGGACAAGTCCCCAGCCACCTGTGAGGGTGAGGTGATGACATGCCGCTTTCCTTCCTGGGTTGTAAGTAGACAAGCCGTGCTTATATACAGGGCCCGTCATGGCTTGTGGCACAGAGCAGGCTTTCCGGAAAAGGTCCCTACCCTTGACTGTTTTTGGTCTCTTCTGAACGCAGATCATTTAAAAATATTTATGTACTTATTTTCTATTTTCATATAACTCATGTTTTATATCCAGCAGGCATTTCAGTGCTGCAAAGGTTTTAGAAACTCAGGTGCCCTTGGCGTTCCGGGGATGGCTTTGCCTTTGATGGTACCCCTGGCCTGTGCCCAGGAGGGTGTGTCTGTCACCACCGCCTTTGTCTCCTTAAGATCCGGGCTTCCGGGATCCCGGGATCCCGTGGGGGAGGCATGTGTAGTGGTCCTCCTGCGTCAGCAGGGATGTTGAGAGGGTCATTTGCTTCCCACAGAGCTGTCTGTCAGGGACCCTCCTGAACACCAGCAGAGACATCAGCTTTTGAAAGCATGTAGGAATTGGCTTTTATGAGGCGGATGCTGCCTGCTTTGTTCTGGCTAAAGACCATATTATCCAGTTTCTACTTAATACTGCCCTTTTTGGGGGTTTGTATTACTTTCTGTTAGAATCCAGGAATACCAAAGGTGGAGATCCTAAGTGAGCCTAGCCCAGTGCCCAGCGTGTGGCGGGCACGCAATAGAAAGAAAACAATGAACTGCCTTTGTCGTCACCTCCTCTGCTCCTCTTTGGTCTGACTGCGGATTGTGTGGAAGGAAACAGCCCCAAAGTTTCTAACATTTAGAAAAAGTCTGTTCTAAATAGCTCTCTCCGGGTGCTTTTTGTCTTTGTTCTCTTTTCACTTTTATTGAACAGTTGATTTTGATTTAAAATGTATATAATTTTCACATAAATACATTTAAAAAGTGAAAATAATAAAAAATATTGTTTCAGAAGGATGTTCTATAAAAAAGGCACCCAAGAATATATGAGTTGGAAGATACAAACCAAAGACAAATGACGGTGCCTCCACTTATCTGCCAGGTTCATTTGGATAGATAGGCTGGATTGGTGAAAGCGCTAGATAAAAATGGTATTTCAAGCCCAGTGGAAATCTTTCAGTTGTGGAGACATACAGTAGATGTATTTAAACAACTTTTAACAATATAACTTATCAACAAATTGTATTTCCTATAGGTATAATGTGAATACAGATTTTTATTGGTTTTAAAAAGTTTATATTACATTGGCAGTCCTGTGAGAGAAAGATATAGTATATCTCAGTTTTTCTCAAAGTACACTGTTTATGAAGTCCTACATAAATAGTTTACAGTAATTGTGTTCTAATTATTTGGAAGTTGTGTCACTGAATATGTTTTAAGTCCATATATCAGGCATCACATCATTTCTTGTTGAGGGGAAATTACCAGGCAGAATGCAGCCATCCTTTGTAATGGGCATTCAAACGTGTGGATAGACCTGAAGCAGGTAACCGAGAAGGGACCTGTTTAGTGTCCAGCAGCCCTGCAGGAGTTAAAAGTAAATTTATCAGACATCGATACTTTATTGAAGAAACACTCCTTTTTGGTTCGTAATTTGCAGAAGGCTGCAACTGTCAGTCATGATGCACTGCCTCTCGAAATTAGTCAATAGAGCAAACGGCAAGAATTGCTGTGGGCAGAAAATAAGCACTGTAATCATGACATAACTGGGGTCAGTGATTTATGGATTTCAATATAGTAGTAGCTGCATATGATTGAAAATTTACTAGGTCACTAGTGCACCAAAAATTTTATTCACAGCCTGCAGGCATCTTTTGAAATGTGCAACAAAATAAAAACCTCTGAACCTGTTTTGACACTGCAGACTCAGTGGATGACATGCCAGCCCAGTGAGTCTCATTTAAATGGAAATGTGTCATAAACTTTTGTACCGTACTCTTGAAAAAACATCAACTGATTTGCATATGAAGTAGTGAAAAAAAGGACCTTTTTATAATCAAGTTTAAATTCTTTTCTTTTAAGTTGGAAGCAGAAGCTGTTCCTGAAGTATCTGAAAAATATGAAATTAGTTCTGTTCCCACCTTTCTGTTTTTCAAGGTAAGGATAAAAATGGCACAACAGATTCTTCATCCGTGCCGGGCTGTGGGTGTCTGTTCCGTTCCTTCCGCTTTCCCCTCATTCCTGGACATTGCGCGTCAGTTTTTCTGGCTTTGCCCTTTCTTCGGTAGTCTCTTTGTTTGCTTGCCCTGGGGGTGCTGGCAAAGTGACATGGACTGTGAATGCTCTGGAGCTTCTTGAGAAAAATCCAGATACATGCTGTACACCCCAAATGTTTCCTAGTTGGGGCAGACGTTGGTCGATAGGGCCTGCGTCTGGACGTAATGAAATATCTGGCTGGTTCTGGGTTGATTAATGACTCTTTTAGGAAGTGGTGCAAATCTGTGCTTCAGGGCACCTCTGCGTGTTACCACAGTTCCCCAAATCTGTCATTTATACTTAATAAAGGATTCATCCCAGCGAGGGTGGGGTGACCCTTTCTGTTTTAGATTAGACTCTGATCTGGCTTGAGTTTGAGATGTAAGGATGTTTACAGCCAGCCCGGTGAGTCTCATTTAAATGTAAATGTGTCCTAAACTTGTAACATACTCTTTAAAAACATCAACTATTTGAAGGGATTTGATATGTACTTGAAAATTTACAGGTGTTTTCCTGGTATGTTCCCAAAAAGGAAAGAAAAACCAAAACATTTATTTTTAAAATTGAGGTGCATTGCAGGCAATCGGTAGTCATATTTTTTAAAACTTCTCCAATAATAGTGTTGACCCCTTTAAAACCTGGCTAGAACTATGAATTTGGACTTGTTCCAGTTTCAGAGCCTAAAGTGTAGAGATGATGAAGGAATGTCACAAGTATTCTAAAGGAGGTTTTTGACTTTAGAATTCTCAGAAAATTGACCAATTAGATGGCGCACATGCTCCGGAGTTGACCAAAAAAGTCCAGCGGCACGCCTCCGTGGGCTCCTTCCCACCCAGCGGCAGCGAGCACCCTAAAGAAGACCTCAGCCTTCGCCTGAAGAAGCTGACGCACGCGGCCCCCTGCATGCTGTTCATGAAGGGGACCCCGCAGGAGCCTCGCTGTGGTAAGAAGCTGCTTTTAAGCTACGGGAACAGAAGGGTCGTTCCCCCCCCCCCCCCCCCCAGGCTCGGGCACAGCTGGGCTGCACCGTGCAGCTTAGGCTCGTGCTCAGACACCTGCAGCAAATCGGAACGGTTCCAGTTCCCAGGGCGTTATGTCATTGGTGATGTGAATTAGTTTGCACTATAGACTCAGAGAATGTGAACCGAAAGGCATCTTAGCAGTCGTCTAAGTCAAGGTCCTGGGTGTACACATAAGTACCCCCAGAGGTGCGAGGGCAGCTCGCTCAAGGTCACCTGGTGGCAGAGGCTGGACTAGGCTCTAGTTGCCATCTTGCTGGCTCCAGGAATGGGCTTTGCCTGATGAATTTTGCCGTTCACAGCCACCGGCTCTTTCTGGGCAGCCCCCTGCTCTTCACCTAGTCTGGATTCTGCAGTGTCCGTGCTGACAAGGTTTGACAGTGCCCCTCTGTCCGCCCTGGGCGCTTCTGCCTTCCCGTTGTCTCTCAGGGCTCACGACCATGTCACTTGCCCGTTGCTGTCATCGCCACCTTGTGGCTTCTGGTAATTTAAAGATTCCCAGCGCTGTGGGTTATAGTCACTCTGTTTTCTGCACCACATACATGCTTGCGATTTTGTCCTTAAGTAAGTTTTAGAGTTCTTTGAGCTCTCTGGGATTGGGTTTATGTTGTTTTCTTTTTACTGTGCCTCGTGCAACATTATTCTGCTGCATAATTGAGCGTTTAGTGCCTTTTGATGATGGTATTGAGAATCGAAGAGTATTTGTTTCAACTGCACAGGTGGCAGTAAAACTGAGTGTGCTGCTGAGAGGGTTACTGCCTGTCCAGTGTGACTTTATAAAAATAGCCAAGCTTCCAAAATAAATTTAATTGTAAATTCTTCCCTGGGTGGCTACCAAATCACATATTAAATTATGAAAAAGTCTCGTTTAAAAAATAAAGGTTTGTGGTGAATTCTACCGTAAAGAGATAAATGGTTCCTTTCTCTCTCCGTTCTACTTGGAAAACGTCCTTGTCAGTGTTTGCACTGCATGTCCGATGCCTGCTCTCGATGAATCGGAACTCTAGCTTAGTCTGCACTGGGGTTAACGGAGACCGTGGCACACAGCCTCTGTGTGGTGTGTGGTCTTGACTGGAGGTTGCAGCTGGTGTGTGGGCTGCCGTCAGGCCCGAAAGTCATTTCTGGTACTTGATGTGGTGACCTCGTAACAAGGACTTGTAAGGTCAGTGCATTCCTTCAGGTCACAAGCGCTCGGCTCTGGTCATGCCCAGGAAACCACAGGAAACCAATAGAACGTCCCCTTCTTTGGGATCAGAAAACACCCTCTGCAGCTTTTCTGAATGACGATCTAATGGAACGGGCAGGTGGTAAAACTGGCGCTTGGGGAAGGTACACCGAGGCACCGGAGAGGAGGGTGGCATACTGGAGTGCCGTGGGCTGGATGTCACGGCGGGTGTGCTGCGGTCCCCACTGCCCCCGCCCCCTGCCTGGTAATGGCAGGGGCAAGCCAGTTACTCTCCTCGTCCTTCATTCATGTCTCCTTGGTGGGCGGGGGAGGCGTTGCAGCCAGTCCTGGGGATCCTGTTCGGTTCAGATAAGTTAGAATTACTCTTAGAAACAATCATTTTCCTGCCCACCTTTTCCTTCATGAGACTGAATTTATGACGTATTTATAGCCATTTTTATATTACCTGTATGAGTGGCACTTAGAAGACTGTACAAATAACAAGTTATTTGTTATTAGAATAAAAAAGAAGCTTTAGAACATTTCAGGGAAATCTGAAAAACACGATATCATAGACATTTAGATAATAAAAGACATAATTAAGGAATTAAGAGATTTTTAGATGCATACGATTTAACAGTTTCATTCTGTACAAGTACTTATTTTATTCTTTATAATTTTTACAGCTACATTTTTAATAGGCTTTTCTGTTTCCCGATTTTGGTTTCTGTTATGTGTCTTTCTGTCACACGCAGTAACTAGATTCTTGTACAGGGTTGGTGTTCTCTCGTCAAATCCCTACTCAGGGATGAATCAGAAGGTGCGTCCATTGTGACGGGGCCTTCTCACGCCCCTCAGTGGCTGCTCCGATTTCCCTGGGCCCTTCTGGGCACACTGCTGCACACACTGGCTGTGTCTTTACAGGAATGCCGTGACGTTCACCCTCTTCCTCTCTCAGCCTGTTGAGTGGAAAATTGGTTTGCTCTTCTGTTGGCACGTTAGAGACGAGGCATTGCTTTGGCAAAGCAATGGCCATGGACTCCCTCGAGCTGGAGTGCTGGTACTTCTGTATTTTGCACAGAATTCACCACCGTCAGTGATACCCATTACCCTCTTCGGACTCCCTTTGTGGAGTAGAGCGAGGCTTGATTTTTGATTAGCTGGCCCCCACCTCACTTGGAGTTCATCAGAAAACATGAATGAGGGACATTCAGATTTCGCGTCAGGAAACCTTGGAAGCTGGCTGTTTCAGGATCTGCCCTGGAGTCTCCTTGGTCTCAGTCCAGCCCCCGCACATCTCACAGTGCTGTCTTCTTACCCTTTCCGTGGGCTCCACCTACAGAACCGTGTAGTGTGTTATGAGCCTGACATGTTGATAGGGCCTCAGTGGTCAGAGGATTAGACTGTCCTTATCCTGGGCTCCCAGGAGGACAGGAAGTAGAGGGCTCTCGTGTTTAGGAATATTGTAAAGAAGCGCTGAGATGTACATCTTCCTAAATAGAATGGCAAGTCCTCCAACATGAGGACTAATTAAGTTATTTGGGAATTCATGTATCTATTTCTGTTAACAAAGCTTTGAGCAAAGCAAAAGGTGTTTGAACCACAGCGCAGAAATTTCTCCCTCAGTGAGGGGTCGTCTAACTGGGCTTCACTTTTTAAATCCGACAAAAATGTTGCCGGTTCAGGGGTATTCTTTGGGGTTTCGTTGTTGTGAGACAGTGATGAAATGTGGCAGGTGGGCCTCTTATTCATGTCTTCTGGAGTGACTCCTACAGAGTCACTGTGGATCGAAACAGTGGCTCTGTGGCAATTAGACGTGGTTTTTCTACTTTTCAGTATTTTTATTGCATGCATGCGTGCATTTTTCTTTAGAAAAGTGTGTGCAAATATTTTGTTATTAGAATAAAGCCTTCTTACTGTTTTATCCGTAAGCATAACATTTGCAGTCTGCCACTTTAACCCTTAAAAATGAAACACCACCAATCAATCTTTCTAGTCTGCATGTAATTGCCTAAAGCTAAAAGAAAGCTTTTTCTCAGCCAGTTACAGTAGAAATGAGTTAATATATTGGCAACAGCATAACCATCAGCAATCAGCCCTTAGCTGTTTACTAATGAACTCCCAGATGAATGAAAAAATTTCAGAATCAGTGTTTTACTTCAGGCTGTACATGAACTTAACACTTCAGTTGTAGGAAAAGCAACTTACGTGCTAGACAAATAAATACCGGTGCTTCATCTTGGTAAACTGCACATCTGGAAGGTGTCAGGAGCTCAGTAACAGATCCAGGTTTCAATAGTGAAAGCACTTTTGCAGGACATCAGGTAATGCCTCTCCTTGAAATTAGTCTTATCCTGAATTTTATGATGCGATTTTTATTTACAAATAATTGCTGATGCTGGTAAATCTTATAGAAATTTTGAATCTGAAGAACAGGTTATTTTTCAGTGACTTAGAACTGTGTCTGAAAAGAAGAATTATGGAACATGAAAGAGCAGAGTGGTATAAAGTATTGAAAAACAATTGGGAAGAATTAGCTTGTGGAAAGAAAAATATCCTCTTTTCAGACAAGACATAGATTTATAAGAGACTGTTATTCACACCCTTACTCTTCAATACTAATGTCATAATAAGATGATGATGTCAAAAAAGTCCAGAACAAAAATGTGTCACAAAAGCATAATAAAATCATGGAACTTAAGATTGTCACTACAGTGTAGTAAAAAACATCACATAACGTGCTTTGGGGAATGTAAATAGTTTTTAAAAAGAGAGTGTCACGTTATGACACCAGATGAGAAAGAACAGCATCAGTTTATTGACAGTTCATATATAACAACAGAGAAGACAGCCCTGAAACTCAGTGTGCTCTAAAATACCCATTTTAGACTGACAGAGATACATTCCTTCTTGACTTCTAATGTATTCCATTTAGAGATGGTGGAGACTGAGAACGGCTGAAATGGATACGCAGGAAGTAGTAACAGGGCAGGAGGAACCAAACAATTGGGTTTCCAGTATGGTCAAGTCGTAGTTAAAATAACTATTGTAGAGTTTTCTCCTCCACCTGGTGTTCGCTCTCACAGATTTACAAAACAGCAGAGCTGGGAGGGACTGTCCAGGGGTCCAGGCCTGTCCCCTGAGGAAGGGGCACCTGCCCAGGGCTTCCCTGGGTGTCCCCTTGGCCAGGCGCCGGGCTTGCGATCTCTGCTTTTTGGCCAGTACTGTTTATCCTACACCAGAAAATGTGCCTAGTATTGAAGAGGAACTTTGATAAACACACACACACACACAGGTTTTTGTTTTGTTTTTTAACTCACAAATATGTTAAAAAGTTAAGCCATACCTGGACATGTGGTATGTGGGTCTGGGCCTGATGACGGGTTCTTAGGACTTGTTTTCTCTTTACATGCCATTCAGTGCTGATTAAATCACTGGGAAAACAGACAGGTCAATAGATAATACCTCCTCTGAATTAACTTGAACTTGCATGTACGTGACAGATACTAAGTTCCTTGTTTCCTTTTTCTGTATGCAGGTTTCAGCAAGCAGATGGTGGAAATTCTTAACAAACACAATATTCAGTTTAGCAGTTTTGACATCTTCTCAGATGAAGAAGTTCGTCAGGGCCTCAAAACCTATTCCAACTGGCCCACCTACCCCCAGCTCTACGTGTCTGGAGAGCTCATAGGAGGACTTGATATAATTAAGGTTAGAACTGAGCTATCTGTACCTTGTAGAGTTTTTGTTTAGAGCACACTTTTATAAGTGCTGTAATAAATCTATATATGTTTCTTACGAATCTCTACATTTACCAATATGAATCTGGGATATATGCAGAGTATTTCTGATGAGAGGACTGACTAATATTCTGTATTACATTATGACCGAGGAGATTTACATTCACATAAATGTTTCCTAAAACTTTCATGTGTATTTATTTCAGGAGCTTGAAGCATCTAAAGAACTAGATACAATTTGCCCCAAAGCTCCCAAATTAGAGGAAAGGTAAGTGTTTTAAAAGTTTCCAATACTCTGTCATTCATTATTTTAAAAAAAATTTTAATTCTCAGTTTTTGCTTTGCCTTTCTATATAGAAATCAGAGATTTGTTTTGCTCTGCCAGGGTCCTAATTGAGTTGTTCTCAGTCAAGCTAGTCATGCAAATTTGGGAAGGTCTAATTCGGACTGGGAAAAGTTTTGCATTCATTTAATGCAAGTGGAGAATGTTTGTTTTTAGAGAAGTGTCATTGTCACAGGGGCCGACCAAGTTTTAGTTCTCTACACTTTGGAGCCAGGATCCAGCTGTCGTGCTGTTCAGGTGCTGGTACCGGCTACTGCTCATGGCATAGACCTGGGTTACGCGCGCGAGTCCTGCTGCTGTCAGTGTCCCATCGGGGCGCCATGACAGTGTCGAGTGTGAAAAGCAGATGCTGTCTGGGGTTCATTGTGCACACTGCTGCTCTAAACTGTGATCATGTAAAATTCAAGGAGGTTTGGAAGCTGTGAAGTCGTTGTTCTTGTTTTATGAAGGATCTCAGTTAGCTTTTAGAGATCTTACCTCGTAGGAAGTTTGGACTTTGGCCCGTAGGATACTTACAGGGATTTTTATTGTAATGAATATGAGTTAATGCAGAGGTTTAAAAGGAATTTATTTTGAAGTACAGCAGTGTATCAGCTGTTCATTGCTGGGGCTTGAGTGTGTGAGGCGGAGCTTGCCCTGGTGGCTGTCTTGCCATTTAAGGCTCTGAGAATTTCTGCAAGTGTTTACTATAAACACCTGGTTCACCTGCCCTTGATTACTACAGGGGTCCTCAGCAGTAGCATCCCACATGTGTCAGGTCGACCCGTGAGTGCCACAGCCCCCCACATGATTCCCAGCCTCTCCGGCCTCCCTGATAGGAAGGGGGTGCTGCCCGCCCCTTTGTGCCTTGGGGTCCCCTGTTGTGTCCCCACAGGAAGCTCCGCGCGGGAGCCGGCCTGCCGTGCCCTCTGTCTGTGTCCTTGCTTTCCCTTTGTTTTGCGCTCTGTCCACTGCATTTGCTCTTGTGTGTGTCCCGTGTCTGGTCCTCGTGTGCTGCCGCCGTGCCTCCTGTGGCTTCACACACCAAAGGATGACCAGCCAGAATGACGCAGAAAGTAAACTGCAGTGTATTCTGAGCGATTGTTTAAAGGGCTCCTAGTAAGCAGTGTCTGTGGGTGGGACGAGGGGCCTGTCCTGGTCCCCTGGGTCAGGTAGGCAGGTTAGTGGGTGAGTGATTGGGCCCAGCATCGTGTTCTTTATTTCTTGCTGGTTTTCTGAGAATCAGCTCATTGTACTGGATTCACAGTGTGTCTGTGTGTGTGTGAGAGAGAGAGAGAGAGAGAGAGAGAGCGCCAGCTCTGCACGGTTTGCGGTTTCGCTTGTGATGACTTTGTTCTGTGAGGAGATTTTGAGTCACGGATGACCCAGAGCACCGGGAAGGAGAAGAACACAGTGATGGGACCGCCATGGGGCTGCGCGGTTCCTTGGCGCCCCTTGTCCCCACGCAGACTGTCCCTGAGGTCTGTTATAGACTCGGGGCTAATAGAAGGGTGGTGAAAACCCCTGGCAGCAAGTTAGGGCCTGGTGTTTGAAAGACTGTGAAGTAGTGAATGTGAAGTCCAGATGAGAGCATTTCTGGGCAAACCCCCCCCCCCCAGGTGTGGCCTTGTGAGCTCAGAGTGCCAAGTGCGGCGCCAACACAGCCCCTGAGGAAAAGGGAACACGGGGTGGGGCTCTGCAGGTTCCGGGTGGGCTCCCTGTACAGGCCCCTGACTGAACAATTCCTTATTGAGTTGGTTATTATTATCTTTTTAGTACTGTGATTTGATGGGCTTAAATTGCAACTTGAAGGAACATTTGTTGCTTTAAAAAGCCATCTTGTGTTTTACAGTGGCTCAGGGAGGGAGGGAGATAAGGAAAGTGTCAGTGCCTTTGCTTGTTCAGTGCCACTCAGAGCTGTGAACTGTCATCCTGCTGTCCCTGGAACACGTTTGCATGGGGCTCCTGAAGCGGACCTAAGTGGTGTTTAATAATTGCGCTGAGCCATTTTATGTCACTTCTCTCTCCTTAGGCTCAAAGTACTGACAAATAAAGCCTCTGTGATGCTCTTTATGAAAGGAAACAAACAGGTAAAGAACTCAAAAATGGTTTTATTTGTAATTTCTTTCGATGTTAACATCTGCACCAAGGGGACACTTCAGCCTTTTTACTAGCTGCAGCTGCTGAAGCCTCAGTGGTTTCAGGAAGTCCTCCGGGCCTGAACTGGTGCTCATGGAGATCGAACAGGAATCCCCATGGTGCGTTGCTTTCTGCTGCCAGCGTGGTCAGCACTGTGCCCAGCGTCCCGCTCTGTGCGCTGTGTCACCGTTTGAGGCTGTCCACGGACTTGCAGTGTGCGGTTCGGCCACTGGACTTCCCGGGTACAGGGAACCTCCGAGCTCCCATCCGAAGTGTCCCTGGTGGAGAGAGAACCCTGGCTGCCTTGTGTGTGCTCAGTACTTGTTTGAGTGAAACAGTTGGGCAGTTTATTTCCTTGTATGTGACCGTGTATTCCTGCTGTTCTAAAAAGAGAGCTCCTAGTCTTCATCCAGTTCTCAAAGGGTCTGCCCCTAACTGGGTAAGAACCACTGATACACCTGACTCCCCTCTAGATCCGGTTCCGTCTGGGTCCTTCCTCTGACGTCCTGGCACTTAATCCCTTTTTGTAGTGGGACGGTTCTTGTCGCTTGTTGACTTACCTTCACAGAGCCCCACGTTCCCCTTTTGTGAACAGACGGCGTGCTACTGAGAACGAGGTTGCGATAACTCGTGGGAAAGTTAATATAACTAATGTAATGAAACCAATTAGTTTCCATAACGAATTAGCTAATAAACTGTTATAATGAAAGCAATATAACCAGGAAAATGGTAATATAAATTCCAACGTGTGCTCACTGGATAAGGACCTAGATTCTTTGAGTAGTTCACTGTATTTATTAAAACAAAATGGAGGAAGTTAATAATTCCCACTAGTGGAACAGTCATCTTTCTTTTTTTGTTCTTGGCGATTATTTTTATTCTCAACATTTTTTTCTGGAAGCCCAGAAAGTATTTGTACATCTTGGGAACAGAATTATTAGCGCTGTTAAGATGCTTATGTGGTGCCAAATCTTTTCTGCAGGATTGATGGGATTTGGGATCTTGTGTCATGAAAAAAAGTGTAAGATTTCCAGAATCTCAAAAAAGTTTGATGCTCTGTAAAGTAAAGATAAAGTTACATTTATCTTTCATATAATGGACCAGGGAGGTGATGATGAGAATCACCAGCAAAAGGCTGAGCTGGGTGAGATCTTGGTGTGAGGGAAACAGAGTTGGGGCGCATCCAGCGTGGACGCTGGCTCCTTGACCACAGAGGCCAGAGGCTCAGGGGGCCTCCTGCAGCCTCATCATCTTGGGGGCGCGGCACTAATGTCAGCTGCCGTCCGCGTGATGAAGCCACGCCAGTGGGCCGTGTGGAAAATGCAACCCACCTTAAAATTTGTTTTTCTAAATTTAGGAAGCTAAGTGTGGATTCAGCAAACAAATTTTGGAAATACTAAATAGTACTGGGTGAGTAAACCTTGTTTTCAAATGGTGTATTTTAAGAAATTCCCACTTTTCAATTCTGCCACTGATGGTTTTCAGTTGTGATGTCTATATCCATTCATATGTTTTATTTTTTGTTGTCATGTTTTGTGACTGCTTTAACTTGGATTACAATAGAATTGGATTACAACAGGCCAGCGCCAGCCTGTTGGTAACAAAGGACGTTCTCAGGCAACAGTAGCAAACTATTTGTCTGCGTTCCCAGAGGAAAGGCAATACCTGAGCTCTCACCAGGCGTTTTAGAGAACGTGTACTGTAGGTTTTAATTTTCTTCAAAAACAGTTCTAGCTTCTAAACAGCTCACAGAGCTGATAGGAACACATTACAGCCTGTTACCTGGATCTGAGCAGTGGGGCAGGTGGAATGGTGGTATGAAGTTACAGGGAAGTTAACCTCCGCGGGATGTGGACTCTCGGGCAGAGCTGAAAGTACTCAGTTGAGCAGCCCGGCTTGAAATACAACCTTAGGTACATAAACAGAAAAACGATTGGTTTCCGCAAGTGACGGTGACATTTTACAGAGGAGCATCTAGTTAGCCTGTTGTCCTGTGGCGTCCAGCCTGCCCCTCCTTCACCCAACCCGAGGGCGGCGGAGAGGCTGGCTGGGTTTTGGTCATCACCCTTACGGCCCCCTTCCCGTCTTCCTTCTGCCACAGCGCCACGCTCTGTTCACCTCTCCCCGGCTTCAGCGCGCCCCCTTGGGGCGCAGGCCGTGACAACACTGGGCCTGTCTCAGCGTGTGGACTCGGGGAAGTCTCCCTGCCTTGGCTTTCTGTCCCATATCTGTCTAACCCAGATTGATTGAAGTACTGGTAGTCCCAGAGCAGGGGCCGCCTTTGGGGGAGAACGCCCATCCAGCTCTAGACTTGGTAACCACGACCGATCGCCCTGCGGCCAGCGAGGCCAGGGGGCCTCTGTGGCTCTCAACCCTCCGTCGGGCGCAACTGATCTCAGCTTCATCACACACGGACGCCGCTCTGAAATACGTCTTCACTAAGTCACAGTCACGCCTGGCTATCGGTTACGGTAGAGGGGGGCGACACGGAAGCGATGAGTCACGATACTTAACTGTTAGACATTTGAGAATTTGTGTGCAGTGAATCTGTGAGATCAGTTGTGCCCGATGAAGGGTTAACAGACCAGGATGGTGCTGGGAGTCCTAGCACGTGGAGAAAACCCCTGGCTTTTTATTCCTCCTCTATTCTTGCACTCACCTTTTCCGTGCTAGCCCACATCCCCATGCTGGGGGGGGCTGAGTCCCAGGCGTAGATCGAGGTGTGAAAGGTGCCCTTTCCAGAGCACTTTTAGGAGTCCTATTGGCGATTAGGACGCCATGTAGCTACGTACACTCGGGCCCAGCACTTCCTAGATCCCTCCCAGCTGGTCCAGTGGCTCATTATTTTTATTACACTGTTTCTAGTAAGAGGTCTGCCTCCTTTAGTTCAACTTGAAGGGAGACTTAGTTGTGCTGGGCATTTTTTATTTAAATCCCGTTTTGCTCTTTCAAACAGTCCCTTTTTTGGTAGTGCTGCTGATTTATCCTGTCTTATTTTTTTCGCTGTTTCTGCACATGGACAGGTTTCCCTCTGCAGGTGGTTTTGGTTTTTGTCTGTGGCATTTCCTTGGCCAGCGTTTGGAAGTGCAGCTCGTCTCCTGCGGGGGCTCGGCCTACATGCCCGCCGACTTCCTGACCACCTCAGAGGGAAATCCTTCTGGGTGGATGTGGCTGGAGGGCCGCACAGCGATTTCTCATGCGTTCATACAAGCAGAGCTCATGAACAGCATAAAGCAAGCGCTGTCTCTGGCGTTCTGCACATGGAAAGCGGCGTGCGAGTTCTGGGATGTGTACTTCGTGTGGGAGGCAGACCTCCATGGGGCGGCGGGCGCTGCCGTGCTGCCCCTGGCTGGTGAGCCCCCAGCCGGTGCTCCAGCCTCCGGCCGTGGCCTGCGGAGCCGATACATTATCTCACCTTAAGAAAAAGAGTGCTGGCCCTTGTCTAACCTAATAGTGCCCAGAGTAAAATTCACATCAATTTGTATCTTGGGACAACTTATTCTGTGTAGTACCTGGCAGATTTCAGAAGTAAAACTATTTCCATTTTTCCACAGTAATTTTTATTAGCAACAGAATGGTTTACTTTTCTTGACTTTTTAAAACACAAAAATAGGTTTTACGATTTTGGTTGCAAACTATATTTCCTGTTAAAACGTTTTCTCTTTTTTGTAGTGTTGAATATGAGACATTTGATATATTGGAGGATGAAGAAGTAAGTTCTGTGTTTTAGGCCCTTCCTGTCTTACTTTCAATCCCTGGAGCCTGTCGGAAGGTTTCAGAGGGTCCCTCCTGTTTCCATAGGTTCGGCAAGGATTAAAAACGTTCTCCAACTGGCCAACGTACCCCCAGCTGTATGTGAAAGGAGAGCTTGTTGGAGGGCTGGACATTGTTAAGGTAAGGTCGGGCGGGGCTCCTCGGTCTCCCGAAGAGCTGAGAGCTTCGGCGTGTGTGGAGATGGTCGTCCACTGTGGACGGAAACTCGGGGTGTCCTAGGCGCCTTTGTTTTCTGGCCTCATCCCGTCGTTTCTAGACCGGTATTACCGGTTCTACCGCCATCCTGTCTTGTCCTTCTCACTGTCGCTGCTCTGACCTCTCACCTGAGCTTGTCGTCCCCCATTGTGGGGCCTCCTGACGCTCTGAGTCCCCTTCCGAGCCTCCTGCAGCTCCTGAGGGACTGCCGGCTCCTCCCAGCTCTGCAGCGCGGTGTTCAGAGAAGCGGGTTATTCCAAGCTCCAGGTTTGATTCTCTCCCACTGTATTAAAGCCGGTAGAGCTTTCGCGTATGTTTTCAGCTTTTCTTCGCCCTGTGTCCTCTGCTTTGGACGGTCTTGCGTATTCCACAGCTAATCTGTTTTCTGTATCCTTCAAGGCCCCCCTTGTCTGTGACTCATGTAGATTCTTCCAGCCAGAAACGCCTGTTTGGCTCCTGCTTCTGAAGTTCTCCGTCCCGCCATACTTTTATTATTATGAGTACTGTTTTCTCGTGTCATTCATTTGGCCTCACTCACATGCTCTCGGGTGATGGAGTGAAGGGCGCCGGGCCCTGGGCAGGAGGCCTGAGTCCCGGTGCTGGCCTGGCCCTCCCGGCTGTGCCAAAGCGTCCCGAGGCCACGGAGTACAGTTTCCTGACAGGAAATGCAGGATTGCGTTGGGTCATAGCCAAGCGCCCTTTTGGTTCTCAGATGCTAGAGCATTGGTCAGCTCTGTCAGATTGTAAGCATGGTTCAAGAGGACTCTGTTTCTTTATGCGTCTTCAATGATTAATTTCCTTCCTTGGTTTGCTTTGAGCAAACTCTTTGAATTTTAATTGGGCATGACTTGTCTTCTCACATGTAAAGTCTCGAATTGAGGGCACCCCCATGTGACCGCACCAGAGCTGTCTGGTGAGCTCCAGCCCCCAGAGGGAAGCTGAGCTTTCCTCCCCCCCCACCCCACCGCACCCCCGGGCTGTGCCATGGTGTTGGAGGAGCGCGGCAGTGGGGGGGTGTGGGAGGCCCAGAGTGGGGGTGCGTGATGCTGGGGAAGCACAGGCCTCCGCGAGGGGCGGCTGGCGGAGCTGCTCCTGCCCGGCCGTCCTCTGCCGCGCCGCCGAGAGGGCGTCCTGCAGCCGCATGCCCGCCTTGGTGAGTGGGCAGACGGCTCTGCGGGCAGCCGTTTCCAGTTTTGTTGTCGAGCAGAAGGTTCGCTCTCGCACTTGGACGTGAAGGGACTCAGGCCCACCTGAGCGGTGTCAGCACTGGGGTCGGGCAGGGTTTGTAGACGCAGGCTTTGGGGTGCAGAGGCTGCGGGTCCTGCGTTCTCGCCGTGAAGGTGCACGCTGCTGGCCCCAGTGGGAGGGCCCACGTTGGAAGCCAGCCAGGGAGGCCTTGTTCCTGGCGGGAAAAAAGGCTTCACTTAGAAGCTTTTGAACAGCCCTGAAGCAACAAAAATAGGCCTGCATTTATTTTTCTATATGTACGTGTGTGCGCACACGTGTATATAACTTCTGTAAGACGCAAACAGCCTTCAAACCCCAAATACGCTTGAGCCCGTTCTTGTCTGAGTGTTTTGATAGCCTGTACCGTAGCCCTGGGTAACTCTTGGGAAGATACAGTCGGTAAGTCGCATTGAATCCTACAGCTGAGCTGTGTGGGCAGCTTCTCTGTAGGTGTGTAACGGTGTTCTGTGACACTGATGTGCAGCTGCTGAGAGCAGATGCGCTTGGACATGCGTGGTCCTGTTAAGCTTTCTCTTGGAGAAGGTAGGTGGGACTAGCTGCTCAGTCTGCCATCTTGGTCTGGTTCTTGCAGAGTGCAGTGGTTTATCTTTAGTTCCGTGAGAACAGCCTTTGGCTTTCAGACGGGCCTGTCCAGCTGGTCTGCAGGAGCTCCGAGGGCAGGTTGTGTGGAATGGGTGGCTGGGTAGATGGGTTACTCAGCAGCTTAGCGGTTCAGTCGCATGTCCTGAGAAGAATGGCTACTAACTGGTGTGCACTCAGGGAGCCTCTCTCCCCTCTAGAGTGGACAGCTCCCTACCTACCGCCTGGCGCTTGGCTTCCAAACAGCCTGGAGTCAGACTGTGGCCCTGTAGGCTGCTGGTGGCTGTTGACAGCAGCGATGATGACACACACCCTGCCCGAAGGACGCGCCCCGTGCCAGGCACCCCGCCGAGCCCTCCCGCAGCCCTGTCCTCGGCAGAGGAGGGCACACGTGGAGAAGGGGGTGACTGCTGGCCGTGTCACAGCCAGCCGCCTGCGAGGCCGTGTTCCCCCGGAGGCCTTGGCCTCAGTGCAGCGGGCTCTCTGCTTGGCACGGGTGTGGGCAGTCTCCAGACAGCAGGGGGCTGCCCGAGTCTGTGTGTCAGGATCGCGCCCACTTGAGAGGAGCTTGAGTGGTGCACTGACTGCTGTGTGTGCTGCTTAGTGACGCCCTGACGTGTTACAGCCGATTGAAGGTTCACGTTCAACCAGAGAACCTTCCCTACCTTTTTGTCATGTCTGAACCTTGATGCTGTATTTCAAATTTTAATTCTGAGATAGACACAGAAAGTTTCCGGATTAGCACGTCTTTTTAATGGTTTCTGGCCTTCACATTTGTATTGACGCAGTAGGTAGTTCTGCTGCTTTTCCAGGTGGGGTTGAAATAGTGACGTGTGTCACTCCCTGTGGGGGCAGCAGGTGTCACGTGCACTGTGTTTGAGTGGACGTTAACATCACATCACTTTTTTCTCCAATCAGAGGTTCTTTCCTCTTTATGACTGTTGTTTTAATGGGAGGCTTCCCTGTTTTGCTCAGATTCCTATACTTGTTAACACTAAACAACCTGTTGGTTTTAGATACCTTTTGACTTTAATTTTGTAATCTGATTGGTTTTATGACATAATATTTTAGTATGAGTGTGTTGGTAGGACTGGAGTTTTAATGCAATAAGGTGTTTCCTTTGGTTCTCTGAGACAGATGCAGTCTGTACTTGTTTCGATGTTTTCATTTTTTATATATATTCTTACACATGCTGTTACTGTTTTCTTTTTTCTTTTTAGGAACTAAAAGAAAATGGTGAATTGCTGCCTATGCTGAAAGGGGAAAACTAATAAATGTTAACCTTGGTGCCCAATTATTGCAAGAAACCTTTCATCACAGCAGAGCAGTTCATGCGTTAGTCATCAGAAATGGACTAGGAGAAGAACAATGCATCTTCCCCGTTTTCGCTTTGTGTATTCCACAAGGTTGTGCTAAATGAATATATGTTACATTTTTTTCCACCAAAAATAGAATACAATAAACATGTTCAAATTAATTAAAAATAATTGTGTAATAAATGTGCCTCTTTACAGTGATGTTAAACATACCGTTACCGTAATTCACCCACTTTGGGTCTCCTTTCGTAAGACTGTGGGTTTCTTGTAGCAGTTAAGGAAATGGTCTTCAGAAAACAGAGCCGGAGTGACAGAGTCTGATCCACACTATGTAGATCAGCTCACAGACCAAGCCAACGGCTCCCCTCGCTGGCCAGACGCCTCCTTACAGCTTGGAGAAATGCAAGTGAACGTCTTTTCCTTTCCTGATGGCGGTGCCGAGCTTGGCGCTGGTGAGAGCAGAGGCGCCGTGGGCACACTGGGACTCGCTTCTGAAAGCACAGTCGTGTGTCACCCGGGAACAGCTAGGAGGGAGTGATTCTCGCTGAGTATGTCACAGCAGGCGCTTTCTTCATCACGGAGAAGAATGCATCGTCAGCCTGTGTGAGCATCACAACTACTTCAGTCGCTGTGTGGGCAGTTGACTTTGCCCCGAGGTGGATGACATCCTGAGGTCCGCGAACATTTCCTCAGCAGTTTTGACGCTGAGTCTAGCCTATTTCAGAAACGGTTGCTCCATCAGCGCCTGTCACTCATGCCGTTAACAGGTGGCCGAATTCACTTCACGGTTCTGATTTTTGGGGCATCTGTGGCTCGTGTTATGGTCATTAAGTTTTCCCGCCTATTGATCAGGCGGTCAGGGCCCCACAAAACCTGGTCGTCAGGAAAGGGGCGCGAGCCTGCATTTAGACAGGAGAGACGGGGCGTGCGTGCAGTGCCAGTGAAGGGAAGCCCTTCATCGGGGCTGGTGTCCTGTGGCCCGAGGGTCAGGCTGCTCCCCTCTGTGTGGTGGTGTCAGCAGGAGACAGGACAGTGGGTGTGTCTGGGTGGTCTGTGTGCACAGGGGCCAGAAAGTGACTGCTGAAGGACCCGGGGAGGCCTCAGAGAAGGGGCAGTGTCCTCCCACGTGTGTGGGGCCCGAGGCGACTTCCTTGCGAGGGAATTGCTGTCCCCTTGGGGAAGTAGCCTGAAGAAGGGACTGTTTTTAAACCCTGCGTTTGCCTGGTAACCAAGGATGGAAGGAAAAGCTATTGGGTTGTCGGAAAAGTCATGACGCATTTTTGCAACAAAAACCAGAAAAAATATGTCATGACTTCTCCGACAACCCAATAAAAGCAGCGAAAGGAGTTGGGGACTGTGTGCAGGCAAGGGACTCGGGACGTGAGACTGAGTTCCAGGTGCGGCGAGCGGTGGGGGTTCCGTCTGGACTCGCCCTCCCCGACCCCGAGGCTGGGCCCTTGAGCAAGGCCGCCCGTCCAAGTGTGTGGTCTCTGCCTTGACGCCGGAGGCGAGAAGTGTGGGCCGGGACGCTGCCTTGTCTCTGACTTCAGGCTGTCCTCTCAGCACCAGAGAGGGCAGGTAGTCCTCTCCTTCATCGCCTGTTGACTTTGTCAAGTCCCTGAATTGATCTGAAGGAGGCGGCCTCGTAGGTAAGGGTGTTGAAACTCGCTCCGGTGGTGGAAATGGCCCTTGTGAGGATCAGAGGACGAGGGGTCTCTGGCCTGGCCTGCACGGGGCTTGGACCTTCTGGGTCACGCTGGGGACAGCTGAGCCCTGCTGGGCCGCGTTGTCCTTGGCCTGTCAAGGACTTCAGGCCTCGTCCTCTCGACTGACCACTGACTTGCTCAAGAAGGAGGAAGAATGTGATTTTCAATCTTGACAAAAATGTGTGTTCAATCCTACTGAGGAGTTTTAAGTTGAGGCTAATTTTTTAAAATACTAAGCATATTTTTATAATCAGAAAACCTCATTTTAATAACTTATTTTAAAGAAAACGTGTAGTCAAGCACAGAAGCCGAGGCGATCTCTGGCAATACATCGGAAGCGCTTGGCTAGGTAGCCAGTACCTGCCTCTCGGGAAAGCGTGACGCCCTGAGACCCAGCCCGTGGTCACATTAGACATTCAGAGCTTATGGTTGAAATGGAACATGGTTTCTGAGCGAATTGTTTAATTAAAGTCAGTTTTCTTACATTTGACCATTGGTACTCATTACTAAAATCCAAACCCTATTTTTTTCTAAATACAAGTAATTTGGTTCTTTGCAGATAAGTTCATTTTTTTAATATGTATGTCAGGTGTTGAGTTCTAGGAATGGATAGAAAGTTAATGTAACTTATTGCTGCCTCATTCACCAAAATGGGGAATTTTAAAGACCAGTTTGTGTGATTGACATCCTTTGGTTTCGGAGTCTTGGGGGCTTTGTGTAGCCTTGTCTGCTGTTTCCCGACGTTCAGAAGGAGACTTGAGTTCAGTCGGCTTCGAGGACAGTCGGGCCCGTAAGAGGGTGACGAGGGTCGCCTGTGGCTGGTGTGTGCCCAGCTCGCCAAGCAGTCTCAGGCCACAGCGTCCTGCGTGGAAGGACTCACCGTGCGTTTAAGTCACCGCGAGTTCAGGCCTGCGAGCTGGGAGACAAACTCCGGCCCCTGCTCAGCGCTCTGAGCACCCCACCCGGCTGCCGGCAGAACCCACAGGAGGCTGTGTCAGCCAGGCTCCTCGCAGAAGCCTTGATTCCTACATCCCTGTGAGAGGTATTGTAGCTTTAAAAAATGAAGTGCCTGGACGCAGAAGATTGACTGGAAAAGGCCTCTGTTGCACTTCGTACCTCCATCTAAATGGTTATCATCTGTAGATAGTGAATTTTATTTAATCTTTTCTTAAAACATCACAGAAGCTACAGGTTGCCCCTGTGAGCCCAGAGCGGTGGCCTGGGGTGGGGAGGTGCCTGCCCTGGGACGGGGAAGGATTCCTGACTCCCTCAGGTGCAGCCTGGCCTTGGGACCAACGCCTTGCACCTGGACCTGGAAGTCTATTCAGGAAGAAGGGAAGCTTGATATTTTTATAGCAATTGAAATAGCGTTTTATGCTGTTACCCTGTGTTTTGTGTTTTAATAAAGGACTGTGATATAATGAAAGCTGAGGTCAAATGCCCTCAGAAAGCCGCTCCCTCCTGTCCCCTTTCAGGCCCAGAGGAAGGTTCAGGGCCTGTGGCCTGGCGGGTGCAGGCAGGGAGGCAGCCCCAGCTGTTCTAGGCCAGCAGCAGAGGCCTCACCTCCGGGGCTGTGGAGCAGCCCAGGGCCCTTGTCCTTGGTGTGTCCTTGGGTCTCACCCCAGAATCACGACCTCCTGGTGGGTGGGGCATGCCCCACCCGGCACCACACCTCTGGCTGGTGGATTCGCCGGGGGAGCAGCTGAGCAGGAGAGCTGCGTTGGGTGGTGGCCGGCAGGTCCAGGGCTGGGGTTTCCAGGTCCAGCGTCCTGACCCTCAGTCCCCTAACTGCGCGTGCTTCGTCACGCCGTACAGATTTTAAACTTGCACTTGGCTTTGAGTCTTGCAGACCTCCCACATGTGGGCCTTGGGCACCCTTTGGTCACAGGGCATTACTAGTGCTGTGTGCAAAGGGGGTCAGGAACACAGGTGGACATGGGTAGGCCATGTCTGTCCCTGCGCATGCGCTGTTGTTCCATTGGACGTCATGAAAGATAAAGTCGTTAATTTCAGGATGACGTCAGCATTACACTAAGCGTGGGCCCTTCTGAGCTCAGGCCCAGGAAGGCCCGGCCTCAGAGGCTGTGGCCTGAGGAGTGATGGGGTGGGGGTGGGGGTAGCAATCCCGGACCCGTGTTCTTTCCGAGTAGATTCCCTTAAAGAGCCACTTAGTGTAACCACGGCCTGCTGATGATGCTTCTCTGAACTTGATCAAAACTGTTCACTAGAGAAGCGAACATATTACCCTCAACGTGGCCACCTGCCCCGAGTCTGCCCTCCACGTATCCTGTGTTGATGATGCGGCAACGGCTCACACCCGCTGCTCATTACCTGTCAGGTACTGTCTTAAGTATGTGACGCAGTGAATCACTGCAACCCTGTGAGGAGGCGTTACCAGCCCATTTCACGGACGGGGGAACCGGGGTTAAGCAGGCTACTCCAGGTCACGGCCAGGCGGAGCTGGGATTGGCCCTGGGGCCCCTGGCTCTGGAGTGCATCCCACCCCTACATGGAGATGACTCGTTTCCCTGTGAGTTGGGAGGGAGGCCAGAGGGCCCTGAGCTCGGAGATGGGCCCCAGCCGGTCCTCGTGGGGCAGGGGCTGGGACCGGCTTCCTCCCCCGCCCGCAGGACAGACAACTGACCATGCCAGGTGTCGCCCTGTGTCGAAAGCCAGGTGCTGCTGGGGGGCACAGCGCTTATTATTTAGAAATGCCAAAGCCCCACCCAGCACAGTGGGTGTCATGGGTGCTCTTTCTGTGGCGGGGAAAGGGGTTCGGAAATTTGCCCAAGTCAGCCAGCCACCTGGGTGGTGGAGCCGGGGTGCGAGCCAGGCTGGACTCCTGCCCCTCCTGGGCGGCGAGTGATCCTTAGTAGGTGCTGCGCTCAGGGCTGGGGTGGGGAATCCGGAGCCTCGCTGAGAAAACCCCTCTCCTGCCTCGGGCGCGGAACTCCTGGGTCCTGGGTGGGTGCTGTTACTCGGGGCCCCAGAGGGGTGACGTCCTGCCCTGGGCGAGCGGCCCGCGCTCAGGGAGCAAGCCTCCAATCCTATGTGCAAACACTGACGGTCTAAATCAAGCGAACGAAATGTTACAACGCGTGCTGTCCTCTTATCTTGACAAATACACCAGCTGATGACCTGGAGGACCACGTTTGAATTTAGAATGATCCATCCGAGTGCCTTTCTGGGCTTCCCCGGCAGAGCGCCCGCCCAGGCCTGCCACCTCCAACCCACCCTCAGTGCCCCTACCCCTCCTCAAGGCTGGGTGTATGCAGGTGGAGGCCTCGCCAGGCCAGCGCTGTGCTGCGCCTCGCCCAGGTGTGCGCTCCACGGTCAGTGCAGGAGCACGTGGGGAGGAGGAGCTTTGCAGGCTCTGGGAGCACCGAGGGCTCCGTCCAGGCAAGCCGACTTTCTGGTGGGGCTGGCCCCAGCTCACCTCCCTTCCGGAAAGGTCGGTTCCAGGGCGCCCACCTTCTGGAGGGGTCACCCTCAGCCCTCAGCACACCACCCTGTTCTGGTG